TCAAGTCTGGCAATATCTGACTGTACGACAATGGCAACTGAGTGAAATGTCTCTCTGGCTTCCTTGGTCTTCGTCGGGCGTACTGACGCGGCTGATGACAGTATGACTGCTGACTCTGGCGGGGAACAGATGTCTGATGCAAAGACCCAAAGGATCGTTGACTCTGAATAGTTGAGACATCGGGAGACTGAGTCTGAGGTATCGGGGACTCCCTTCGTTCAGGAACTTTCATTCTTAGGCTTGGCCTAGGAACAGGCAATAGCTGCGGGCAGGGAGACTCTAGGGTCACGGATTGCAAGACAGGCTCCTGACCTGATGCAACTTCAGGGGAAAGAATAGGAACATCCACATCTTCTGGAATAAGACCATTGCTCGGTATGAACTCAAATGCTCTTAAATCGATTAAATCCTGAACCTTGTGCTTAAAGGCTTTGCAGTTCTCGATATTATGCCCCGGTGCCCCAGAATGGAAATCACAATGGGCATTTCCATCATAGCCTTGTGGTGGCTCGCCAGCCAACGGAGCCATAGTCCGGAGTTTAACCAACCGAAGTTGAAGCAAGTGTTGCAACAACTGAGCATAAGTCATGGGGATCTGGTCGAACATTCTGTCGGACTGCTTCGTCCTTTGAGCATACCTCATAATCCTAGGATTGTCTCGGGAAACAGGAAGTAGTTGTTGGCGAGGAAATACTGGAACCTCAGGTTGTGTAAGATATCTTTGAGGCACTTCACGCCTTGGGAGAGGTTCCACATGTAAAGGTGGGATGGCCATCCCTGCTGCAGCTTCGGGCACATGATCGCCTTCCTTTCTCAACACATTCCTCATGACTTCTGTTATCAGGCCCATCTGAGTCTTCAACTGATGGACTTCTTCTCTAAGCATTTTCTGATCCTGAAACAAAACTTGCATGTCCGTCATGAATTGTCCCATTTGGCTTCGGATTCCCCTCAACTCTTCTCGAATTTGTTCCATGGTCGTCTCTGTTGGTTTCCTTTGGGTGGAATGATCTTCAATTCTGATACAAGCCGGATGGAAAACCACATGAAGCAATTACGTCCACAAAATTAGAACACCTCTATGCAAATGAATAATGATGCAATATGCAAGACATGCAAAGAAATGCAAATGAATATGCAAATGCAACAGGGGATCAAAAGTTGTTGTGTTGTTGACGGTGACGGACCAGCGCTTCGCTTCGAGACCAAACAACATTAGTACAAGGATCCCACTGTAATTGTTCATACTGACAAACAGGTAGGATGAAGGTCAAAGTTTCCTGCAAGACAACCACAGAAGGTATCTTTCCCATCGGGTGAGCAATCTATTGGTTTAAGAGGGTATTCCAAAGGCTTTTCAAACAAAGTCCCATGCACTAACCCTCAAAAGTTTCCCATCATAACGACTACTCGTAAGACGGTAATCCCTTCAAAAGGATGAACACAGAGTTATGTTTTAGCAACCTTTGGAATAAGGTTCTACAAAAGGTCCTCAGAATCGCGGACTCCCAAGTTGAAGATAAGAACGCCATTACGACTACACGTAAGACATAATTATTCCAACGGGGTCTCATCTGAGCGGTGGAATTCAATCCAACTCAACGAGTCCTAAGTCCCGCAAATCAGAAAGAAACCACCTCCTAACTTAGTGCATACTCGAAAGCTCGGGTAGAAAGCTTTATCCTCACAAACCAAACCAAATGAACCCAACAAGTTAGAAAGAAACATAACCATAAAATAAATAGCAAAACAAATAAAGCACAAATGCGACAAACAAAATAGGCGTGGCTTGCTAGGTTGATCCCCAGCAGAGTCGCCAGCTGTCCCTACTCGAAAAATGCATCGTGCAACGACGGGGAGGCAAAAAAGATAGACAGAAGAGTCGCCACCGAACTTTATTTATCCCATGAGGGGAAAGGAAAATATCGAGAAAACCTTAAGAAAGAAATGGATAAGATGGTCTCGCAACCAAGAACGGGTTCGGAAGCCGGTTATGCGAGGGGAAGGTATTAGCACCCCTCGCATCCATCGTACTCGATGGGAACCTTTTGTTTGTCGATGTGTGAATTTATTTGCTTAAATATGATGCTATAAGAAGTGTTCCACGGGGTAAAAGAAGGGTTAGAAACAAGAAAGTTAGGAGGAAAGAGAGAACGGGGAAGAAAAGAGAAAGAACAGACTCGGTAGGACTTCGCAGTCCTATGCCTACGTATTCTCAATAGATATGAGAAAGTCAGAGTCGACGTAGTTCGGGGAACTACAGATATGGGGGGAATTGTGCTCGCCAAGGATTGTGGCCCTTGTGCCTACGTATTCTCATCTGGTATGAGAAATCAGAGCAGCCGTAGTTCGGCCTACGGTGTGTTGATGTTTTTTATGGATGATGCTATCGTGCGCATTCTAGCAGTTAGGTGTTTTGCTGCTCGCTCGTTGGAGACTTAGGCGTTACCTGTTTGCGGTAGAACGGACGTAACATATCCTTTTTGAAAGATTGATTAGTTTTCGCCACGCGGGGCAAGAAGTCACGTTTGATTGATTGGATTGTTTTTTAGGGGGCGAGACAGGTCCTCGGATAGTAACCCCTACGGGTAGTACCCAATTCTTTGTCTCAAAGTTTTTGTTGTAAAAGGGTGTGGTGAACGAGGCGTCTTCGTATTGAAAGACGAGCGTCGAAACCACCCTCACTACAGTGGGCGTCCCAACGCTCGGAGAAGAAGAGGTCTACACCCAATCCTCTCTCTTTAATCCAGTGCAAAGGGAACTTCGTTCTCTTATTAATGATGTTTTTGGTTTTGAATGGTAAGTGCTTTGCGACAGAGAACCCTACGGTAAACGTCAGCACTCGGGATAGGAGAAGGCCTACGCCTAACCACTCCACGACCATTCAAGTTTTTGTTGTGAAAAGATTTGAAAATGCACTCGGTACAGGACCGAGGTTTTAGGTGTGAAAATTGTGGAAGTAAGTTGTGAAAGGAAATGGTGGATAAAGTTGCGTCTTCGTATCGAAAGACGATTTATCGAGACCACCCTCACTACAGTGGGCATCCCAACACTCGAAGAGGAAGGGGTCTACACCCAATCCTCTATTTTTAATTCAGTACAAAGAATTTATTTTAAGGAGATGAGATTTGAAAATGGACTCGGGACGAGACCGAGGTTTTGAAAATGTACTCGACACGGAGCCGAGGTTTTTAGGAGAGAAAAGTTTAGAAGCGTCTTTGTATTGACAGGCGAGCATTGAGACCACCCTCACTACAGTGGGCATCCCTATGCTCGAAGAAGAAGGGGTCTACACCCAATCCTCTATTTTTAATTCAACACGAAGAATTGTTTTAAGAATATTTTCAAAGATACACTTGGTACGGGGATGATGTTTTAGGGGGAGAAGCGTTGGGGAGAAATTGTCTCAGATCCAACGTTATCCATCAATATTTCGATTGATAACGAATTACGGAGGTCTCGTCATCGACCCAAAAAAAGGAAAAAATTGTCCAATAACAAAAGAGAAAAAAGTTCAACTTCCAAAATAAAATATAATATCAATATTCTAAAAGAAGTTCTAAAAAAAAAACTCTAATAAAATTAATTACAAAACTTTAAAAGAAAAGAAATATATATAATAAAACTTCTAAATATAATATATTTACATAATTTAAAGAAAAGTTAGAAGTATATTTACATAACTAATTTAAAAAAGGGTCATTACATAAAATAAGTATAACATTAACACATTAAATAAATCAGAAATAAGGCATAATTAAAATAGGGGTCAGAATAGGGAAGAAAAATTAGGAGAGGATCACTTGGGCCCTTGAGGCCCATCACCTCTCATCCCACGATGATGTTAATCAAACAAATAAAAATAAATAATAATAATAAAAAAAAAGAAAACCTCTTCCTCGTTGAGAACCAAACGTCTCCTTCTGCTTCTTCTGTTCAAGATAACCCACTTTAAGCGAAACAAAAGTAAGCCACAAAGCGGTCAAGCTCGCATCGGAACGGCGGAATGAAGCAAATCCACGGTAAGGTAATGACGTCTCCGACCTCACAACCCTTCAACTGGGTCCGCTCGAAGCCTCTCTCTGCTTCAGATTACGTTCGCGATCCGATTTCACCCTTGATATCTATTGTTTTACACTTCCGGATTTGGCTTTTTTGATTTGGGTTCTGGGTTGTTGTTCTTCAAACGGGTTCCGATATGGTTTTGGAGTGTGGGTTTTGGAAGGATAATGACGGCGCAGACCTGGGTTTTCTACGGTGAGTTTGAATAGGTTTCATTGTTGGTAGTTTGGTGGAGGAAAATTTGTTTTCTGCGTGAAGGTAATGAATAGAGACGATGAAGTTGCATTTTCTGGGTATATGGGTTGTGGCGTGTTGGCTGGGTTTTGCTTGATTTTGTTGATAAAATTTCTGGGTTCATGCGGTAGAGAAAATTTAATGATTTGAGGTTGGCTTAGTGTGAATGGAGTTTGGTTGTTGAACAAAGATGAAGGGTTTGAATGTGTAGAGATGGTTACGGTGAGTTTCGTAGTGGAAGTGATGAGGGTGATGTACCACGGTCTATGATTATTTGTTCTGAGTTTGAAGGTAAGGGGTGGTAGCGAAAATCAGGGATATGTTGAGAGGTCGTTTTTGTTAACGAAGGTTGCGTTGAGAGGATGAAGGACAGATGTTTTCATGGGTTGGATGTTCTAATGGTGGTTGTAGGAAGATGTTTTTGAAGGAAGTTTTAATGGAGGTTTGAGGTGAAGTTTATTGATGTTGGTTGAACATTGAAGAAGGATGGACCAGAAAAGTTCCTTTGTGGTTTTTGGAGAGAGTGAAGAGTTGTGTGTGTGAGCAGAAAAACAGGAATGTTTGTGTTGAGTTATGAAATGGTTTTAAGCAAGCTTTTTTCATGTTAGTTGTCTGGTGTGAGTGAATTTGTGAGCTATTGTGTGTGGTTCTGCTGCAGCTTCACAGCAGTATGCCTATTCCATCCATTCCATTTTGGTGTAAATTTAAAGCAGGTTGTTGTGTTTTTTGTTTTGTTGCAGCAGTTGTTTGTGGATTTGTAGCAGGGTTGGTCTGTAGCAGGCTGGTACAGCTTGTGCAGAGCTTGTCTGGCGTGCAAGTTTCATTATGGGATTTGTTTTACTAGGATGGTGGTTCATACATGGAGGCCCTTGGGGATGATTGTTATAATATGCAATGGGATCAACATAACTGGTACTGTCTACATACAAAGAGTTGTCGCGTGGAATTTTTTCCATGACATAGGGAATAATGTTTTCATTAACAACATTATATGGTTGATCCGTAAATAACTGGACATTAGAAATATTTGGATCTTTAGGCTGTGCACAAATGGGAGATGGAGGCATTTGATCAAACGACTTGCCCGCTACCTTCATTGATGTTACAAATAGACTTTGTTTTGACATTGTTCCTGCCAAATTTGAAGAGGTTGGGCTGCAATCAATAAAATCTGAAGCAAATGCATATGTGGATGATTCCCTATGGAAATGTGGACTGTTGTAATCAGAGGCAGTTGTAAACTGGCTAGCATGGCCTGCCAGATTCAGTCCACTAAGATTCTTTCGCGGACATGGATCTAGTATACCATTAACAGCAACAACATAATGATAATCAGCATCACTTTGCTGATTGACTCTTGGTTCATTAGAACTTGGACTCTCAGATTCATTTGAAGCTATGAGAAAAATCCTCAGTCGTTGCGAGCCTCCGCCTCTTTCAAGCTCCTCATACTCCTCAATCATATGATGAAGATCCTCATCAGAACAAACAGAAATAAGAGCATCAAGATCCTCTCCAGGAAGCTGGTATTTGATAATGTGAGTTTGATTGCAAATATCAGAAGTCTTCCTTGTAAGTTCCTCATGTGTGATGTTTTTCCTAATCGATATAATCCGCGTCTCTCCCCCTGCATATCTGAGCTTCCCATCATTTGGCCTTGGTAGTATTCGACCTCCAAAACTACATAAAAACTTTATCTTTTGGTAGAAGGAACCTTCTGAGACTACTGTTCCATAAGGTTGGCATGGACGAGGAGTATTTGATGCCGAGGCAACTTGATCGCATCCGTCAGAAAATCTAATTGATAATTGTCTAGAAAATGCACTCGATGCTTGTCTGATACCACCATGTTCACACTGGTATCTGCTCAAATTATTATGACATGCCCTGTTGTCAACTTCAGCAACATAGCCTCTAGCAAAAGCAATATCTAACAAATCCAAATTGCTATCAGAATCCATTCTCCCTAGCCCAACGACGTGTTTTTGATCCTCGTAGACCGGTTTACTATTATTAACATTGAAGTCCATTCTGTTTGGCATGTGCTGCTCTGCATCAGTTATGACAAGAAACCTTCTTAAACCGACCCGGTCGCGTAAGAACTCGGCAGAAAATTCTTCACCGGTCTGTAAACATATATTGTCTTTATTATCTTTATCAGAAGGTATTCTGTCACTAAACCCAACAATCACTGTACCTCTATATTGATTTCCTGAAATTCCAGGATCCTCATTATTCATGGTGGAAGATTATACAGTTATCTCAACCTAACAACCTTTTGCAATAGACTGTAAAAGTATTCTCAATGCCTATCCACATTTTACACTTAACTCTAATTTTTATCACAGCAACTTACAACACAAAAAAAAAAAAAACCGTCAAACCAACATTGTACAATTCAGTATTTCGCATATGTCATCTGTGCCGGTCTCAATTGGTATATCCTGAAGGTGACATAATAACCAAATCCCTCTGTAAACAAAACTCGAAATTGCGGAGAAACTTGAAAATTATGTTTACCCTTCATTATAAAAAAATGGAGAACCAAGGAATTCTACATAATCAGTCCATTAAAAACCATAATCTGAAACACGAAGGCTCGTCGTTGTCATTGATATCAACATGATCGTTGTCCGGAAAATGAAGTTGCACTCAACCCTAGCTCCATAAACGGGCTTGAGAATTTAAACCCTGATTGTGTATCCATGAACAGAAGGTGGGGGTTAGATTGAGATGGGTATGTTGTGGTGTTGGGAATGCAAGGTTTTGGGGTAGGGTTGGACGAACCCAAGGGGGAAAATGGGGTTGAAGGTTTGATTTTGTTGGGAATTGGGGGTACAGCGGAAAAAGTGAGGGGTGCGGTTCTTTCTGGGAAAAATTGAAATTGAGGGGTTAGTTTGAAGAGGAAAAGACGGTGGTTTTGTTGTGGCTTTTGAGGTTTTGCAAAGCTGACTTGTCTGTTTTTGTGCAGGGTACATGTTTCACATTTTGGTGATTTTATTCATCAAAGTAGTCGGATGTTGTGTAACATAGGCACGAAAATAGTAGCACGGTCACAATAGAGAAAGCAGCTACTTTGTTGTTGTAGCTTTCTGCATTTTGGCAATGGTCTTGTCGCAAAATAGTCTTGGTAGTACAGATTTTGCTGGCTGAAGAAAGGTGGGAACCATATGCCACATGGGTAGAAAGTCTCTTGCTTGGTCATGCTTGCAAGTTAGCGTGAAGCATCACCCTGGAGCCTTTTCTTATTATTATTTCTTGGCACTTGTTGTAATGATCTTTTGTTACAAGTTGCAATTGCAATGTACTTCCAAATGTCATTTGTATCTCATATTTTTTCCTTTGAAAATTGATTTATCATCACAAACATACTATGGTCCATGGGCATCCGTTATAAAACAAATTCTTGCATAATTGGGAATGGACTTTGAATGTGCTATTTGTGCCTTAGTTTTGATTTACCAACTTAAATGGAGTACACTTAAAACCATTTCCATCTTACTTGAAATCCAACTCGAGATGAATGAATTAAAATTTGGTTTCTATGTTAACCACATTCAACCCAAAAATGAGTCATTCTTAAATATGGAATGGATTATGATCTTGAATCAATGAAACCAAAAAAAATAAAGTTGAAATAATCTTGAACTTAAAGCCCCCTTTGAATTGTGACGAAACACAAAACTCACTTTTAATCTTTTTGGACAATATTATGGACCAAATGAACCTGTTTTGATCTTAAGGAATCACAATGCGCTGCATAAAATCTTAACTGGAGGGGGACAGATTCCATATGATTCTCCACCATGAAACATATAAGTTTAGCCCAGGCTGATAACTACACTGCCACTTTACCCAATCCTGAGTTCTGATGATTATCCACCTGACAACATGATACTGAAACAAAACACTTGTTTTTATCAAGATTAGATCAAACTTCCACTGAATGCCCAAACCACACCTCACACTCCCAATCTGATAACGAGTTTTATCCTGATTAAAATTGAAACCCTGATTTCATCCTTTTTTGCCTAAGCATTGTTTAGATGAACCGAGTGACCATTTCCACTCCTCCATGACCTCTGAGGTATTCAACAAACTTCTACCTCATGCTCACACCAATGATAAAACCCTATGGACCCCTTGACAGTCTTCTGATGGTTTATACCAGTGCCTTTGCTTGAGCTCGAAACCAATAAAGATTTTCCTCTTGAGTGGTGCACAGACAAACACTTGATCCCCTGTAAATGTAGAATGTTATGTAATGCAATATGCTAGAACAATGAAATGAAACATAAACCAAGTAAAGAAGAGGTTGGTCAAATTTTGGGGTACAACAAATACAAAGTATTAATAAAATGTAGGGAGGGGTGCATTGGTTCAATAGGGGTGTGCTGCAGCAGAAACAGGGAGAGAGTTGGGCCCAGCCCAACAAATGGCAACAAAAAAAACGGGGAGGGGTGTGTAACGAAAAACGGGGGGTATGCTTCAGTAGAATCCATCAAGAGAGAAAAAAATGGTTGGGCTTTGAGCTCAACTACCACTCCATCAAGTAACCAGCAGGAAAGAGGTGCAAAGAGGAAACGAAGGGTATACTTTAGAAAAATGAAAATTGGGCTCAAGGCCCACTAACCCATTGAGGTGTCCGTGAGGCTCCCTTCCTTCATCCTCGTTTGCTTTGCCCTGAAACCCTAACCCTCTCTCTTCTTCATGGTCGTCGTTCACCTCCGCCGCCTCTCAAGGCTTCCTCCAAAATCAAGACGTCCGTCTCATTACTCCAACCTTCTCTCAAATCTCCTTCTTTTTGACTTCAGTGTCGTGAGGAGGTTTGGATTTGCGTGTAGAAGATCCATAATTTTTGATGGAGTTGGTTCGTAATTCTGGAGATTGTTTGTGATTGTTGGATCTGGATGCGATGAAGACGATCAGTTGGCTCGACGAAGATCTTGTTCGCGTTTGATGAAGATCTTAGACCCAGATCTCATGATGTTGATATGAAGTTTGATGAAGAGCTTCAGACCTGGAAAAACACATGAAGATTGATGACACAGTTTCTTGAAGAAATATGGGGAATAACTGAATATCACCATGAACATGATGAAGATGTTTGAAGAATCTGGGGGTTCAACGAAGGTGATGGTTTCTGGAAAACAGTGATGAACACGTTAAAGGTTTCTTGAAGGTGATGAGGATCTGAGGAAGGTTTCTGAGAAACGCTCGTGATGAAGATTGAATGTTTCTAGGAAGGCTTGAGCGAAGATGACGAATAATCTCGCCGGAAAAAGTTGTTGGAGGTTGTTAAGTTTCTGGGCGAACATTTGAAGAACGGGTGAAGGTTCGAAGAGTTGTTCATAAAGTTGATGAATATTGTTGAAGATTATTGGTGATTTCTGGAAACGGTTGTATGAACATTCATACGAATCTGGAAAAAGATGAAGATCGGATGAATGTGGATGAACACAGATCAAGGTCTGGAAAAACGGTTATGAAGATTCAATGAGTTCTTGAAGGTTTGCGTCGAATGTGGTGAAGATCACCGGTGATGAAAATCTTCGAAGCTCTTGGATGAAGTTCTTGAAGTTTCCGGTGAACGGTTGAAGTTTCCGGTGAGGTTGTGTGACGATCTTGAAAAGAGATGAAGATCTGACGTATTTCTGGAAAATCATGAAGATTGCTGGGGAAAATGATGAATCTTCTTGAGTCAGATGAATTTTCCGGTGGCAGTTACAAGTTCCGGCGAACGGTTACAGTGAGACTCGGCCGGGTGAACCACCGTGATGATTTCTCCGGTGATGAGAACCGGTGTTTGCATGGCCGGAGGAGTGAGGACAGCGAGGCGGGACAGTTGGCGCGTATGCGGAGAGAGAGGGACAAGTGGCGTTCATGCATGAAGGGTGAAGGATGAGGTGGCAAGCCCTGAGAGAGAGAGAGGGTGAATGGAAAATGAGATGGCTAAAGGAGATAGAAACTCGTGGGACCCTATATGTATGACAAGTGGCACGAATCTCTGGACTTGGGCCCACGAAATGGACACCTGGCCCACTAAACTTAATACTGATTAATACTGAATTAAATGCTAATGATTTGGACTAATCTTAAATTAAAACTAAAGACTCCATTAAACTCAGACTTAGACTCTAATAACTATCTAATTAAAGCCTAATTAAAAACAAAACGAAATTAATTGCAAAAAAAACCCTAATCAAAACTTCTAATTAAACCTAATTAAAAACAAAATTAAACTCTAGTTAACCTATTAAAAAACAGAAAAAGATTTATTAAACCTATTAAAAACCTTTAATCTACTTAATACCTAAAAAAAAGAAATATCTATTAAAACTATTAAAAGAAAATATCTAATTAAAATTCTAGAAAAAATCTATTTAATATCTAAAGCTATCTATTTAAATCCTAGATTAAAATCTATAAAATCAAAAATATTCTATTAAAATCTATTTAAAAAAAGAATATCTATTTAAAAAATCTAGAAAAATCTATTTAATAAAAAAACTATCTATTAAAAATCTATTAAATTCTATTAAAAAAAATAAAAACCTATTTAATATCTAAAAAAATCAAGTAAATCTATTAAAATGCATTTAAAATCTAGAAAATAAAAGGGAAAAAACTAAAAATGCCAGGAGGCCGATTAAATCGATTAGAGAACAAATGTGCAACCCTAACGAAATAAGCGGTAACAGTCGGACACCGAAATATCCTTAAAAACAACAGCGCAATCTGGAAATACCGGGACGAGCACAAATTCTCAAAATACACTTATTCGAACTGGCCTGAACTTCCTGAAACGCCAGGGGGCTGTAATCCCGATAAAATCAATCTGACTGAGAAAATGCAATGCATGCAGTATGCGAATGCGAACGCAAAATGCGTCGAAACATAAACCAGATATGGGAACCGGTTGGTTAAATTTTGGGGTGCAACAATGATGAAGATACTCGGAGAAGTTTATTCGAGATTCTTGAAATTGGATCTGGAACAGTGTTGATATTGTAGATCTATAAAGACGGAAGGTTGTTTATATGTGGCAGTTTGAATCTGGATTTGAAGATCTTATGGTTGTTGTTTGTGAATCTGGATACGAAATTTGAATCAGATGAATGTGTTCGTGATGTTGATGATTATGGAGGTTGAAGCTTGCTTGCTTGCTGACGTTGATGAGTTTTCAGATCTAAACTTAATCTGAGGTTTAAATGATGTCTCATGGAGGATCTAGAAAGAA